TGTGAAGATGGCTGACAGTCTATAATATTACTCAGTTATTTAGTATATTTGATGATATTATTGTGATTACGGTTAAGGTAATTCATATTACTAGTCAGCATTAGTATTACGCACTATATCAAATTCATTTTTGCCAAAAAAAAAAAAAATACGTTTGAAAAGTCATTGTGTGTATGAAATATAGTAATATACTTAAAAAGTTTTGAGTGCCTACGAACATTATTTTTAATTTACAACAAAATAACACAAATCATTATTCTTTGTTATTTATTATGTAATTTAATCCACATTTAAACATAAAAAAACTAAAAAAAACTGTGCTTTTATATTTTTAGTTTATTTGGTTACAGAATAACTTACTTGCATTGAAGTTTGTTTTAATTTTTCACACCTTAACTATAAAAGTAGACAATTTTAAAAATTGTTAGCTATATAATTATTTATAAATTCCGAATGATATGAATTTTCTCAAAATTTGAACTTAAAATCCTTATAAAAAAAAATAGTGCATATGTATTTTTAATATTTTTCAACTAATTTTGTATATATGTATCAGAAGTCTTGTATTACATTTTCAAGCTTTTGACCCTACAAATAAAATTGTATAGATAGTTATGTAAAAGAAACTAAAGACATTAAAAATTGAAAATTTCTGTAAAAAGCTCAAAACTAGTCAAAATATTTTGAAAATGTTATCAAATCTATGAATTGATAATATAAACATGTGGTGTGCATTTCAAGTACCTGCAGTTATTCGTTTTTGAATTGCAAAAAAAAAAATAGCTACCTATATGAGAAATGGAGTCAATATCCAATGTTGTAAAATTTTCATCTTCAAACACTAATCAAAATTGAATTTGACTTTCCGTAAATGTTTTTTTTTTTTTGATAAAGTTAGACATAATAATAAGGAATCTTGAATTACATTTTAAGATCTTAGATATAAAAAGAACATTTTTTACGGATTTCTAACTCAAAATAATTTGCAAATTTTTCATGATTTTTACGAATTTTATGAATTCAAATACTTATAAAAAAAATATTGTTTATTTACCCTCAATTTTCATTAAAAATTCCCGTTTATCCTTAATTTGTTGTTTGTTTTTCCTGCTGCTTTTGAAAACTATCGGGAATTTTCGATTTTGACCTCACGAATGCACTAAATAGATTCATTTTCCTACCAGAAAAGTTGCTGTTTGAGAAATTTGAAGTACTTATACGGTCCCAAAACGTGATAATAGACACTAAAAAATAAAATAAAAAATATACATAATTGTAAAATCAATAGATTTATCGCTCTGCTCAGAATCTAAAATTGAGTTCCTATCTATATCTACTCCTGCCCCGGGTTACTTTTGCTATTTTCTTACGGTGAAATTAAAATTAATAATGTCTTAGGTAACGCCATGATAAGTTTAGATCACATAAAAGCATTGCTTATTTAGTAGGTACTATTGCGTCGTATAATACTGTAATATTTAGTGCTATAATTTATAAATATCTAATGTAATGGACCAAGTAGGCAATATTACAATAATGTTCCAAATTTCTGCGATGTTATAAAATATGAATATTCGTGCAAATATACGTTCAAACATTAAATTATTGTTGTAATAAAATAATCTTGTTGAAGCGATACCATGCAGCTGCAATCTATGAATATAAAATTATTTTTTTATATGTAAGTTTAAAAATATATTTAAATAGATACTTATTAGTACTTATGTTCTAGGTATATTCAGAGTTGGACACTTTAAAATTGCAGTAACTCAATAAACTACAGTAATCTATGTTAACTTACATATCTCTATAATTTTCTAATAATTTGTGATTTGTATAATATGATAGTGAAAATATAATTATAAATTAGTATTTACCTAATTAAAAATAACCAAAATTACTTTTGTATATAAGTACCCATGTAATAAGTAGTAATCTCACTATTTAGAATTATACAGAAAAATTAAAGATTTTTATGAGGTGGAATATCGTTATAATAATATCTTTATAATATGTAAAAACTACAATAATACCTATAAACAGATACCTACCTACCTAGTTGCATACGCTATAGGACATAGGTATTATTAAAATTGAATTGTGTGTGGTGTGCACTCACCTGTGTCATATGGTTCATGAGGAAATAATAGGTAGGTACCTAAATAATTATAGTAGATAATCTATAAGTTTTACCTAGCAATAATTACTGACATCTATGGATATTACAAGATTAATATTCTACTGTGTACATAATTATATCAAGTATGACCTAATGCTATGTACCTTGTCATTGAGTACCTATTTGAATGGTACCTAAGTTAGAAATTATAGTTATCAATAAGTTTTACCTAGCAATCGGCATCTAGGTATATTAAACGAGTACCTATTATATTGTGTACATAATAATATCAAATATGACGTAATGCTGATATTATCTTTATTGTCTACAAGGGCATTTCTGAAGATAAGTACTATGTACCTATAGCAATTAACAAGAACATATCCGTCCAGAAGGTAGGTATTGATGAAGTTGATAAAAAAAAAGAGTAGAAAATGCTTTGTAGTCCGTTAGTCCGTATATAATAAACCTACAGCTTAACCATTACCTAATCAATATTGTTGATACCCAATGTCAACTTGACTAGGTACCTACCATAGGCGTAATTAGGGGGCTTGGGGAAGGGCCCAAGCCCCCGGTAAAACACGATTGCGTACGATTTTTATTTGCAACTTTGAACTTCACTGTTGCCATTTGCTTTGAACTTATAGAACAGGGCTGGCCAAACTTTTTTTGGTCACGATCTACTAAAAATATACTTCACCTTTGAGGATTGACTTATTAATCAACTTATTGATCAACTATTATTAAGAAGCATAGAGCGCGTGGCCCTAAAAATAAATTCTAATACGATGAATTTGAAATTGTCTAAGATCGGTCCAAGTGGTAGGTAGGTACCATAACTTAAGTCATTTTTCCAATATTTAAATTTTACTGATCACAAATAAAAACATAAATTTGGCAACGTTGCACAGTAAATCATACGCAATCGTTTGACTTTTGGGGTAAATATTAAAGTTAATGGTTTAACGTACGCAATCGTGTTCTCAAAAAGATACATCGTACGCAATCGTGTGGTACCCCAAGCCCCCTTCCTTTTATGTTAGCCCCTCACCTGTTATAAATTATAATTCCTATACTCCCATCAATCCCACCAACAATGGTAGTTACATATCTAAATAAATTTTAATTTAAAATACCGTTTTATTTTTTTTATTTAAACTTTATTATAATATAATTTGAATATGATGACTGATGAGTCCGTATAGTTTTCAATAAAGTAAACACAAAAATAATCTTCACCCATAAGAATAGACTCATTATTTTATTTTTTATTTTAACGTTAATGTATTTATGTCAAATTTTGATAACGAGTAACGAGTAACAATGACCGGACGACGATGGCTGCACCTGTCGACCGCCTCTTATGACCCCTTTTGCTAAAACCTCAAAACAGAATCAGATTTTATATTACATACCTATTTTATATTTTTATTATAATATTATTTATCATCGTTCTTTAATCGTCATAAGTACAACGGTTGTTGTTGTATGTTTATGCCTGATAGTTCGTATTCTGGTCGACGTCATAATTATTATTGTAATTATAAATGTCTGAATTTGTCAAATTTTGTTTACCTACTTATGTTTCTGGATTTAATTAATATAAAATAAATAAACCCAAATTAAAATCATAAATGTTAGTTAGATAGTCCATTGTTAATCATTTTACACTTAAAGATTATTTAAAAAGTATCGGGGGAATAAAACGGCTAAACTGCTAAAGAGTATTGTTCAAAAATCTGTTTCCAAATTGATATAAAATGTTACATTTATCACTTTCTGTTCAAATAAGTTACTCATCTAGTGAAAAAACAGTAAATATTTTCAGCAATGCGTCGAATAAATACTTTTAGCAGAACCCTCCCCCCTCCACTTGTTTTACTTATTATAAAAATGCTAGCCCTGAAGTCCCCCTAACTTTAAGATCTAGTTACGCCCTTGCTAGGTACCTACCATATAGTACTAATGTATCATACAATTATGACGAGCAAAGTTTTTCGTATGTATATGTCCTCAGACTCCAGACAATATTCTGTAGAGCCACCTCATAACAATATCTATTTACAAATTTGTTTGGCAATATTTAATGACAAAAGTGGCAAAGTATGTAATATAACTACTGTACATTAGTTGCCATGTAGATCACTGTAATGTATGGTGTTAAACTTAAATTCAATGATACAATATTATCATCGTATACAAAAAACGATTCTGAGTACAAGACATGAGACAACACATGTGCATGTAACATTTTCTTAAGCATTTATTAGATATATTTTATCAATAAAATCAGTAAGTTAAAAATTAAGTTAAAGAAAATTAAATTGAAAAAAGTTGAGTAAAAAATTTAAATGAACTTCACTTTAACTTTTTAAAGCCTTTATGCCCAGACTTTCTGTATAATACCCAGAGGCATAGTCATGATTTTGTTCTATGGGGTGGGAGGTAGATAATTAATTTTTTATATTAACATCGAGGGAGGGGGCTTGGTAACCCAAATACCATAAGGCTTTTTTTTTTTTTTAACGCACTTCTTAACACAGAAAAACAATTCATATTGAACATTCTAAATACATTTTTTCACCAATAATTATTGTGGTTAATTGTATTGCCTCAAGCTCAATAATAGAGTTTAGGGTCACAGAATAGTCGATGACTGGATGTTTGTACACCAAGAGCCAATAGCGACAAGTTGTCGTACCAAATATAATATATTTTATATCCGTTTTTAAAATTTTAAAATTATATTGAAAGAATAAAGGATATGAAAGAAAGACCAATATGGAGTTTCATAGAGGTTTAATTAATAAAGCACCGATTACAGTTACCCCCCCCCCCCCTTCAATATTAAAATAGGTAAAAATAAATAAATTTTATCTTATAGCAACAATTTCATATATTCATAGGTCTTCTATATGATTTAAGCTTATCATGTTCATATAGTTGGTGGATTTTTTCATACATAAATCTGAAGAAAAATAACATATTATCATAATTTTTGGGTGGCTCATTTGCTTCAATATCTGTTTCTGTGAATTCAACAAGTAGTTGATGGATAGCTTCAATAGTAGCTAAAAACCACCTAGGGCTGCCCTTTTGATGTCTCCAAAATTGAGATAATCTTAATTGCAGCTTTATGCACGGAAGTCCTGAAACAAAAATGTAATAGGTAAATAAGTGCTTGTATTTTATACTACATAATGATAAAAATATTACAAAACTAAAATACTAGTATCAAACCTTTTATTATTGGATCCTTCAGAATTCCATTACTTTGATTCCACGTACTATCAATAAACAATGCGTGTGTCATGAATTTCCTAGAAGTTCTTTTTGTATTATATTCTTCACTATCCTCCTGTCTGTAAAAATATGTGATAAATTCAAGTATGAAAAATTCAGTATTAATTTCATTTAAAAATATTACTAAAAAAAATGATAATTAACACATAATTAAAAAAAATTTTTTATTGTTTTACTATACTATACAACAAATGTATAGTGATTAAAGGATAAAGCCAAATAATCAAATAACAACAGAATTTCATTAATTTAATCAATATCTTCCAAAACCACCCATGGTACTATCATAACTAAGAGACTATAAATAAATTTTCCTAGATACTATCTGACAAACTGAAACTACCAGAGCTACCAAATAAGAGGTGCTATTAATGAATAGTTTCCTATTATGTATACTATAAATGTTAATATTAAAATTAAATGTAAACATTATATCCAGACTTTTTACAAACGGATAGTGTATGAAGAAAGTTTTAGGAGATCAAATTGTGTGTGCTGATTTGTGTTACAGGTATTATGCTTTGCCCATATATAGTTTAGCAAACACAATTAATTAATATATTAATTGTATATTATCATCATAAATATTTTAGGGAAAAAATTGTATGTTTATACATTATTAAAGTTTAATTTTAATAATATTTATTTTATATTTTACTTTATAATATTATGCTTATCAAACATTTTTGCAATGACTTCAAGAATATCTGTGATAGAATTAGTTCAACATTGTGTGCAACAACAATACTATATTATAGCAGATCATATATTTTCTGTCTACAAGTAAAAGTCCTATAATTATTTTTCCATAATTAAAAGTGGTAAACATTAAATGAAAAATAAGTATTGTAAATAAATGAACAATTTAACTACTTTTTTTTTGAAGAATAGAAGTCTTGTAAGGTTACAGCAGATTTTCCTGGATAAACAAGTATTACCTGAAATGAAAAAAATGGTAGTATTATTAAAATATTCAAACATATTGAGTACATGTTTTCATTAGTGTCCAAGTGATATTATAATAATATTTAAAAAAAAATTTAATAAGTACAATAAAATGCATATGCTAGAACATTGATATGCATAAAAAAATACAATAAAAAAGATGGCAGTAACTTTACGCATTATAATTAAATCTATTTTCAGGATAAATACTCAAGAAGCCTTTTGTCGCACTAAGATGTTTAATTATAATTTATATTCCTAAGTTATTTATTTTAATCATATAAAGCAGGGGTATTTAACCTTCTTATGCAGCGGCCTACATACTATTTTCTAAAAATTTCACGGGCCGCATTCACAGTAAAAACATGTAATTTATACAAAACTTCAGTTTTATTATTATAATTTTTATGGTTAAATTTTAAATTAAAGTTTATTATTATTATTAAAACATATAATATAGATTGATATATTTCAATTTTTAATTACAGATTATTTTAGTTATAGTGCAATACCTGAAATTGTTTTTCACTAACTATTTTTTTTTTTATATTTAGTTGTATCTGAGACAATGCAATCTTTGACTAGTTTAATAACTAAATGTCAGTTAACTGACCTCTAGATTTTGACTTGACAACAACTAAAAAGAGACATCATTCTTAAAGGATTATTTTGAAGATTAGGATATGTCTACATTTCAATATATTTTGAATAAATTGTTTGAAGTTCAATGTTATTGCACTTTTCTTTTAATATTTTATTGTTCTATAAATCAATGATCTCCATTTGCATATTTTCCGAGAAATCTTCCACTTATTGATAGTAAATTAATTATTATGAAAATGAATTGTATTGATTGTGTTATTTTTTTCATCAATGCAATAGATTCTCGACAAATTAAACATAAATACAGCTTTTTCTTTAAGGACATACAAAACCAAAAAAAATTTTTTTTTATGCTTGGTTTTGATTCTAAGAAGTATATAAAAAAATATCCTGAAAACAGAATCTGAAAAAAATAATTGTTATTTATTATTGGCCCATTTTCCTTAAAAAACTTTCATCCGAGATTTTACATTTTTACTAATCAACATATTATATAAATATTACGAAGAAAATGCATCAAATTGTAAATTTAACACATTAACAAATATGTTTGTAGATTGTTTGATAACAAATTAACAGGAAACAGTCAACATGTATAGTAAAATATATATAGGTAATTGGAAAGAGCGTTAGACGGAGATTTGTTGTTTCCGTCTCACAAGTGAGTAACATACCAAATGTTAAGTACAGTAGATCATATTAGCTTAAAAATTGGAGTTAATTTACTTCTTATATAATTTGAAACTAAGATCTAGGATATCTAATAGGTGTTTTATTAACTATACTTTTAGAGCAAGTTGTGAGTATTTTACAACTGTAAATTGTTTGTACATCTTAAAATACTCATAACTCGCTACAAATTATACATAATAAAAAACTTATGAGATGCCTTCAAGAATGCTCTGAATAATAATCTTAGCTTTAAATCTATAAGACTTCAATTCACTCCAATTTTTCAACTAATAGAGCTAAACGTGGTCTGCTGAGAGTAAAATTTGCTATGCTATGTACTTGTAAGATGGAGACAACAAATGTTCGTGTAGCATCCTCTTAATATACCTTATCACTTAGGTATTCCCCAATTTTTTTGATAGCGATGTCTTAAAGCTTAAAGGTCTGAGCACACAGAACACAGTCTGTCGCAGCGGGGCCGTAATATCTTATATGTATATATGATTATTGCGACGGACAAGGTCAAATTCTCTATTTAATTACAACCGGACCGCTGCCCGCCGCGACAGATTGCGTTCTATGTGAACGAGCCTTAAATGATGGTTTTTAACCGTTCTAATTTTATCAAAACAGAAAAGATATATAATGCTATGATTCATATGTGATCATGGGCCGCACATAATGAAAAGAGGAGCCACGAGTTGAAGTCCCCTGATATAAGGTCTACAACAATAAACAACAAAACATCAAATATACATTATGCATTTATGCTACAGAATAAGTGATTACAAATAGATGAAAATTACCTTGTCGTCTTCAGTGTACCTAGGCATGTCAGGGTAAATGTAAATAGTGACATCATTAGGCGCTAGAAGAGCAGCGTGTATCGCAGTGCTTTTACCCGCTATCTCTCTGCTGTGCTTGATAATGTCGATTTTGAACGGCAACTAAAAAATTTTGTGAATAAATACTAGAGTTGACACATAGCAGTGATATGTACGAATTACCTTAAGCGTGGGTATTTTATTTTCGATGTCGGCATTTAAAGTGTAACATGTGTAGCAAAAGTATTTCCTAGACTTCGAACACTTGCGGCACGGTTGCCGTTCGTTAATGCTAAACAGTGTTTGCCAGTCATCGGAGATCTCCATTCCTTCGAACGGATTCATCTTTGCAATATTAAAATAAAGTGTAGACAAGTAGAGGTACCGATATGAAATATGAATATTTTAATTTTTAATTTTTAATTGCACATCATAAAGCATAAATTACCCATATCTATTATCACAATATTAGATAGTTGGAATCATGAACACAAAAGTTACATAACAAATAATATTATTGTTATGTGACCTTATCAATGCACTGGCCGTGATTATCACTATTATGATGCTTCTAAATGCCAAATGGTAATTTTAAAATCGAATTTACCCACGAAGTGTATGGGTACATTTTTTTTTCGCAAGCCCTTATATTTCCTCTAACAATTCAAAACGAATGCATGAACCAAAAAAAATGATATATCCAGTTTTTTTTTCATCCACAAAACATTAATCACGGCCTACGGGCGTTGCACGTTTTTTGCAACCGGGCATACAACACTTTGGGCACGTCTGTCCAAAACGTCAATAACAACGTTGATAACAAACGAGTTCCCCGACTGCGGTTTGAACTTTATATAATTAAAAATCCATACCTTAGTATAATATTTGGCTCCGTTAGCTTTTATGGTAATTAAACTGACAATGGACGGTGATGGACGTTTGGGTTTAGTATATTATTTGAATTAATCACGTCCAATCGACTAGAAATTATTTGAACACCAGCAGGTATGTAAAATATAAATGATGTAATAAGTCAAATGTCGGATTTGATTAATTTTTGATAAATAAGTAATTTAGTAGTAGCTACATATTATTATGTACCGAAGAAATTGGTATAAAAAAGATAGTAATTGTACCTACTCATATCTCTTTTTTATGTATTTATTTTACATTTTACATATACATTGAACAATTTAAGTGTGAATTTTTTGAGGATTGCATTTCTTACATCATTAATTTATAGCATTTGGATGAATTCCAAGAAAATAATTGTTCATCATAACTAAAATATTTAAATATATTTTTAGTTAGTTTGTCTCCTGAATGTTCAACCGTCCTTACATGTCTTTGAAATTTATGATTTTACAGGAACGATGAAGAAATTTATTATATCTTTACTGCTCTTCCATATAATTCTGCCACTGAGTTTACTAATATGTGAGTAATATAATATCCAATTAAAATTATATGCATTATTTATAGTTATAAATAGTTTTAAGTTCTTTTTGTCTAGACTTTTATTAGATGTTGTTTTATTCAAATGCCATTTATTAAACATTTCAAATTGCATTTATGTACCTATATAAGTTTTTTAAATCAATATTTTCAGTTAATATTATCCTATACATACTCAAATACATTAAATATAATTAGGTAGGTACTTATAATTTAATCTTTGAAATGAAAATCAAAGACAAGATTCATTTACCAACATATTTTATTTTATGTATATATTTTTTTAGTATTATAATATGCATAATACTATATAACAGAGGTATTCAATTTTTTTTTTTTAATTGTCATCCTTGTTATTTTCCCTCTTCTTTGTCATGGTCAGGAGCATGCTTACACGAAGGGATGAGGTCATGATGGTGTTGTATACCCATCTTTTGCCTTATTTTTGTCATATAATATGTATAATAAAGCAATGAAATAAAATTATACTCATAATCACTGTGGTCTGAGTATAGTCAATAATTCATATCCCTCCCTTCCTTTTGAATAATATGAGTACAACTCTAGCTACAGCTCTCCTGAAAATTGCTTGCTACATCCCCTATAGCCGTGGCACACAGTTTGAATACCTTTGCTGTATAACAGGGGTGGCAAACGTTTTGAACACTATGTGCCGAAAATTCCTTTTTTTTTAAGCGTACCATGAAAAATATTTTGTTATATTTGATATTGTAAAAAAAATTATCATAATTTGATTGTATAGTTAATATATTAGTATAAAAAAGGTTAGTTTAGTTACATACAATTATAATAATAATACTTTGTTAATTATTTATTTTAACATTTTATTTTTAGTAAAAATATTTTAATTTTTTGCGTGCCCTAAAATCTTTTAGCGTGCCACCTCGGTATTTTCCATTCTTGCTATAAAATAATATTATGTAGTATAAAGCAGTATTAGTGTTTGCATAGCTTAGCTTATGTAGATATTTACCAATGGTTAAAAAATTAAAATTTAATAATTTCTTAGGGTCTACTTTTTTTTGGGTTAAGAGTCACCAATAGTTTCTACTAGAGATTAGATTTATAGTAAAAATTGCTTAAATTTAGAAATTTATAAACCTATGGTTAGTATTATATTCAAAATAATTTAATAATATAGTGAAACCTGGCTTATTGTACACCTCTCTTAATATATACAATTATAAGGTTCCTTTCAAAAATATATAATATATAAATTAACATATCTAGGTTCAAAAAATCCAATACATTTTTACATCAGACACATGTATATATATATATAGTTTTTATTTTCTAAGAATTATTTGTTTTCAAATTATGTATATCAAATACTTAATATTATTTATAAATTATAACTGATAAAGTCCTGTTTTCTATTACTAGTTATTACTCAATAATCGTTAGTTTTTTGAAATTTAAAAATATTTATCTAATTTAATGTAGGTATAGTTTAATTCATTTTAAAATTGTAGGGACTATGGCCATACTAGAATGGCCACTTAGTTAAATAACAGTTAAGTATTACTATAGTTTTCATGTAACAATAAGGTAACATGATAATTTTAATTGATGGTACCTACTTAATTTAAACATCAACACATATATAAGAATCTGGACTTTTATACAATCATTAAATTTCAAAACTTCATCTATTATATCCAATTGATAAATATATTATTATTGTTTATTTCATAAGAATTATTTTTTAAAAAGATTATATTTATTTAATACTTAACATAAATATTTATAAGTTATATTTTATTAGGACTTTTTTTTATTTTTAGTCATTATTTATGCAATGTTTTATTTAATATTTCACTGTTTCAAATTTAATTTAATTTATATTTCAATTCATTCTGAAACTGTGTGTTCCTAGATTTTTATCCAATCTCTCTGTGATCATACTTAATAGTTATTTTGTATTGCTATTTACTTTTAAAGGACAACAAGATAACATGTAATTGATAATAATATAAACCACAAATACAATATTATTAATAGTACCAATAAAACACAAATACTGATAAATACCATGTCTTGTATGCAATGAAATAATAAATAATATAAGTATTATTATAATACTAGGATGTCATAACATATAAACCAAAGTGTTTTCATATTATGGTCTTATGAAAATATTAAACATGTATTTGCATTATTTTATGATCTTTTTCTTGTAGTTATTAGTATGTATGATTTTTGTTTTTATATTGACAGTGTCATATTGTCTTACTCTTACATACTCAAGGCTGTCACTGGTAGCGAGGTCCATGGGTTCAGACCCTCTCCGAAATTTTAAAAGTAGAACAAATTTTAGTTGTAAATATTGTTTATTGACTATTGTATTAACAATTTTATATTTTCATTAATGCTGTTATAATGCAGATTGTGAGTTTTTATATTTTGAATGTAAAAATGATGAATTTTAAGTACCTATCTATATTATAAAACAATTTTGGACTTAAATTTATTGTCAGTTACAGTCTGGTGCATGCTTACTATTTTTGTACCACAGTACTTTAATTTTATGAGTATAATCAAGATGTAATTTTTTTATGGAAACATATTAGTTGTAGAGAATTGAAACTTTTGTCATCATGTTTCAATTTTAAAATTGGTCAGACTAGTTTTAAGATATTTATACCACAAAACTATTTACTGTTTATCGATTTTGTATGAAACAAACAGTATTGTTAAGTGTTCAATGAAAACATTTTACTAGATAATTTATTGTTATTAATTTAAGATCCTAAATAATTATATTTTAAAATTTTGAAAGCAGATTGTTAAGTCTTAAGTTAAAACCTAAAAACATCATTGGGGTTCCTATTTACCTACCTACACAGAGTATCACTTAATTCATCCATGTATGCACTAGCTTCCTGCCTAGATTTTATAACGTAAATTACTATATTAATAATTTATCTTGTAAAACATTAACATAAATTAGTCTTATACATTTTCTGGTATTAATTCGGTATGCGCTCTACAGGTTTTGCTGTTCTACAATCGGTCTACGTTTGGTACGAGGATATTGGACAACGACTGTATTTCTTATGTGTTATTTGTCCTCCTTTTTATATATGATATGTTGGGTATTTCTTTCAACTTTATTATCTCATCTTTAATTATCTTTACTCTCAATTCAATTCTATATTCTATTCTCTCATTTATGTTTGTATTGGAATTGCCTACACAAATGGTAATGGATCAGACAGGAAGAAGCAATATGTGTCATTGAGTGGTTTAAAATGTGTCAAGAAATATTCACAGCAGTTTTGAAGACTAAAAGAAAAATGTTTGGAAATGCACAAAATCCAATTCAGATTGACGAATGTCCTTTCACTGGCTGAAGGAAGTACAATATGGTAGATTATTATCTGGAGACGCTCTTTCCTCCTTGAAAGATATAAATGCTGAGGTAATTAATAACCGAAATTCCGGTGCTCGGGTAGATGGTTATCCTGGGTATTTGGCTTAAAAATTGAAACAATTGCCAATCATTTTTATATTCATCGAGAGAAATTCTTCTAACAATATTACAGAAGAAAGACATTCAGAATCAGCAATGAAATAAAACGGAATTAATACAACATATGTAGAGCACATACCGAATCAAAAACATCTTTGTAGAGCTCATACCGAATTAGCATCCATTTGATATATAGGATAACTGATTTTAAAAATTTACCCCATCAATACAATAATGATTTAAACAGTTATTACAGTATAATATAGAACACTATATTTCGAGAAAATACTATCATTGAGCATGGTCCTTATAGAAGTTACTGCCTGTGTATTTGGGTTTTATCCATATTTTGTGTAAACCTAATGATATAGTTGCCATTATAGTTATTGTTTTCCATTTGATGTTAATAGGCTTATTTCATTTATGTAGGTTAGCATACATATTAGTAAAGTAGTTGTATTTTGTAGCCAACTTTTTTTGTATTCGTTTAGTATGTGTAAACTACCGGACTGATTATTA